TATTATTTATACACAGGAATGCCACCAACCACTGTAAGACTAAGGCAACTTAGTATGTGACATATGTGCCTGAGCTGCCATTTCAAGTGGGAACAGAGCAGAAAAGGGCATGTAGGCAGCAGGTGTGTGGGATGCACCAGGCAGACCTAAGATACAGTGCACATGTATTCTGGGAGGGCACAACTTTTACTGTATCCCTGGTTGTTTTGTGTCATGACACATACATTACTATTTTTAGAAATCAAGAGCCTCCTTTATTATCACAAAAGACACTCGATGAAATGACTTGCATATTTTGCTGAGCCCAAAAATATTCCATGACTTATTTGTTACTCTTCTGGGAAACTTCCAGTTGTTTACCCTTTTTCAGGAGTGAGGTCACTAACCCTCTTTAAATGGACCAAATCAATTTTTGCTTTACCTTCATGCATCTTTGATGCTTTGCCTCCAGAGTTCTTTAAATATTCAGACCATTAGATATTATGGAAGGAAAAGGCACTGGTGGAAACCCTGCCAAAGCGGGGGCTGTGCAGAGGACAGGTTTTTTCATGCCCTCCTCAGTGAAAGCTTACTGGAGCTGGCCCCGGTGTGGGGGAGCATCTTTCTTACTTTCTTTTCTGGCCTGTATCACCGATTGGCCAGACCTCTTCCCTAAGGAATAATTTTGGAGAGTCCTAGGGGTAGAGGACAGCTGGCTCTGGTTTTGTTCATGTCCTAGGGTCTCCCTTCTGCCTCTGGAGTTGGAGTCCCACATATCACACTCTGTTGGGTGAGCTCGCTCCCACCCTTTTCCAAGTGTCCTGCAAGTGAAGGGCTGTTCAAACATTGGATAAGTTTTTCACTGGCTCCCTCTCCTGCTCTGGCCCACTGAAGTTCCGGCTCTGGGAGCTGAGGAGTGAAATTTCCCTTGTGGTCTACAGAGCCCTTTCCTTTTCTGCACAGGGCTCTGCCAAATGGCTTGTTCAGCATCTGCAGCCCTGTGTGTGTGTGTGGGGGGGGGTCTAATGAGTCAGACCTGTCATTCCCTCAAAGGCAGATTGGGGAGCTGTGAGCACTCCGGATGTGGGGTGGGCTGCAGTTCTCTCCCTGGCATGCAACTTCTTTGGGATTGTACCAGACTCAAGTCAGATCTTTGCTAAGCACAGAGTGACATGGGGTCCTAGTACTTGCCAGATGAACTGAAGTTTCCAGAACTTTCTCTGGTGTAATGGTTAATTTGAATTGTCAACTTGATTGGATTAAGAGTTAATGATGATTAAGAGGCTTCTGTGTGTGTCAAGGAATGATTGGCATATGGGATAGCCAACTGAAGTGGAGGCCCTCCCTAAGCGTGGACAGCACTGGATGATGGCTTGGGTAGAATAAATGTTGGAAGAACAAGGGGCTGGGGTTGTGGCTCAGTGGTAGAGCACTTGCCTAGCATGTGTGAGGCACTGGGTTCGATTCTAGTACCACATATAAATAAATAAAAGTAAAGTTCCATTGGCAATTTAAAAAATATTTTTTAAAAAGTTGGAAGAACAAGCAAGCAGCAGCAGATGCAAGCTCAATTTCTTCTAGAACGGGTTCTTGATTGCTGCTATGATCATCTGAAATTATCTGACTCTTGCTTCTTCACTCTTTCAAAGCTGACTCTGCCAGTGATTCCCTTGGGAATTTGACCAGAACCTTTGGGTCTTGGACTAGGGTAGCACCATTGATCCTTCTCGTTCTGGGGCTTTAGCCTCTTGGACTGTGCAGCTACTGTTTCTTTCAGCTCTCCGGCTTGCAGACGGCCATTATTGACTATCCATCTTCTGGCTGTATAAGCCAACCTGATAAGTCCCTTTTTATAATTATACTTCCTGTTGATTCTGTTCCTCTAAAGAACCATGACTAATACACCTGGTCATGCTGTGGGTCACTGTCCCCAGAAGTGGGAGGAGGAGCTTTGCTCTCAAAAAACTGCTGGGAAGGACAGAGCCCTGTGGATAGACCTGAATCAGCCCAGTCTCCAGGTGGCCATCTGCTGTTGTGGAGAGTAACAGACACTACCTATGTCACTCCACTTTGGCAGGTTTTTTAACTTTAGTTAACAGAAATCTCAGCTGCTGGGTGAACGAACAGAAATCACAGGAGAAAACCTTGTAAACCTTTTATTTGGAGCGGAACACAGATTGAGTTTATTCCATGTACTGCACATTCATAGAAGAAACCCTGGTGGACACAGGCACTGGGACACAAACGATGCTCAAGTGTCAGCTATGACCCAGGCCCATTGAGGAGGGCAGGTTCACCACAGAAGATGGATTGTAGTCCAAGACAGCACAAGGGCTGCAAGAGGATGGTTCTGGAACTGTGTCTTCTTACCCTTCCCTGTTTGTCTGCAAATGGCTCATAGCAGCAATACATTCACTGGAACACGGAGCTGGTGTTCAAAAAAAGCGGCTCAGACATAGTTTGTACACAAGCACTCAGCACTCACATGACAAAGAGGGCTCCAGCAGCATGGCCACGAATGTTCTTATAGCAGTTCACACTCAGCTCTGCTATGCCTGTGGCAGACTTGCTCAGCAGACCTGGGCACATGGGATCTCCCACCCCTCTTCTTACCCATAGCATCCCCCATCAGTTACCCTTACATCATCTGAGATCTGAGGGAGCAGACCACTGGGTGATATCATATGCTCACCCCCAAGGAAGAGAGAAACAACACACAAGAGACCTGCTCTCCTGGAGGTCACACTGGTTCTTTCTTGGCTCCCCCAGAGTAGCCAGGACAGCTTGTGTAACCTCTCCAAACTCTCCGGTACAGGTGGAGGCCTGTCCCTGGGGAGGAAACAACAGAGGCTGAGAGCCAGAGCAAGATTCAGGTCACAGGGACGGAGACAACAGCAGCCACAGCCACAGAGATGGAGAGGAGGACACAGGGTCTTGTGTGCCTCAATCTCAGTATGGCCCTTAGCTCTGTCTGGCTCACAGCCCACCTGGATCCCAGGCAGGAAGGAAGCATTGGCAAGGCTCTGTTCTAGGTCAGGTTCCCACTCTCAGGTCACCCACAGCACAGCAGAGGCTGATGCACAGGTAGGTAGCTCTGAGGGCTGCAGGAGGAGGGGTCTCAGTCAGTATGGTGGCTCCTCAAGGATAAAATCATGTCCAGGATGGAGGGGTCCATGGAGATGGGAGCCAGGAATACTGGTTGGAGTGGAGATTGGGGTTCTGCTACTACAAGGCTGGACTCTTCTCTCTGTTCAGGGAGTCAATGTAGTGAAAAATGGCCCCCAGAGCCCAGCTGGTCTCCACATTGTCGATTTTCCGAGTCAGCTTGAAAAGACAAAGGGAGAGGCAGAGATCATATACCTTCATATGGGAAAGGCTGAGCAGATCTGTAGACTAAGGCAGCCCAGTCAGTAGCTGGAAGTCTGGGCTGTTCCTTGCATGCCAAGGATTGGGTGGGGGACAAGATTTCAATAATGGGATCAGCAGTTCCCAGTACCTCACAACATAATTGGGACAGAGGTGCCCAAGAGGTGAGTCCCTACCTTCAGCACTTTATTCCTGGGAAAGCCAAACTCCTGGAGCAGCAAGGTAATGTAGGTGAGATCCATGCACACGAAGGGGCTGCTGTGTGGCTGAGTCTCCAGAGTCCGACACACTGAGAGGAGATGGCCAATTCCCAGTTAGGTTCAGACAGTCCCCTCCTTGGGGGACAGTGTGCTGTGTGGACCCCAACTCCACCCACTCTGGGTACCCAGAGTTAAGGCTGCAGCTTGGCATGGAAAGGTGACCATGACCAGAGCAACTCAAAGGATGGCCATGTGGCCAGTCCTAGCCTACCCCAGCCTGCATTCTAGGACCAACAGAGATCTGCACAACTTGTCTTGGGGTCACAGTGGAAAGTCACCAATTTCCAGGCTATATCTTTGCACCTGTGACCCTGGACATCACTCCCAGGTATCCACCTGCATAAAACTTGTGCTTTCCAGGGGATGAAAATGACAGAATAACTAGCTTAAAATAATCCACTCTTGTTCTGAGGAAGAGGGGCAAAACCCAAAAGTGACATGAAAGCTTAAAAAAAGCCATTGAGTGGTGGGAAGAAGGTAGAACTTTTTATGGAAAAATACTAAAATGTAACTTCTTTGGGGGGGGGCACTAGGGATTGAACTCAGGAACACTTAACCACTGAGCTACATCCCTAGGCCTATTTTGTGTTTTATTTAGAGACAGGGTTTCACTGAATTGCTTAGGGCCTCACTAAGTGGCTGAGGCTGGCTTTGAACTTGCAATCCTCCTGCCTCAGCCTCCTGAGCTGCTGGGATTACAGATATATGCCACCATGCCCTGCTTAAAATGTTAACTCTTGACCTGCAAATTGGGAGCAGCAACCAAAAGAGCAGAATACCAACACCAACACTTCACACACATTCCCTGGCTGTTGGGGTGAGTGGGCCTTAGACGAGGTAACAGGTAGAGGGGAAAGGGAACACAAGAGTGCAATCCTTCACCTCCACAACCCAGACTGTTCAGGAAACCTGACTTTTTCAGGGTCATGTGATAATCATGAACTCGCTGGGACATCTAAGGGGAAATCACTCTTGTGGTCACCCGGGTAGCAATGAAAAGGTGTCAGAAAAAATGAAATGAGGGAATCTGTTCCTTATAGTCCGATGATGAGGCAGTGGACTGTGGCCCTTTTGCAGCCAGGACAGGACATAGGCCTCTGACCATGGTCACTATTAAAAAGGCAGATGTGGAATATAGGTCCATACTGCTCTTTCAGTGCACTCTGAACTCTGCACTTGCATACCTCTGAATACTCACTTGGTTGGTACAACCCAGAATCAAGGAATTCTGGGGCCACATAAACACTGTGGGGTGTCTGTCCCCCACTTCCTCAGTTTCTGTCCATCCACCCCCTCAGCCTCTCTTACCCCAGCAAGCACCGTGACACTCACCATACTTGGCTGCTATCTCAAAGTCCCCGACCACAAGGCTGCCTCCCTTCTCCGCATCTGTAGGATGAGATAGGCACCCAGTCTCCAGGAGTACCATAGAAGCTCATGATCCTGCTGAGGCTTGAGGCTGGTGCCCAGGGACCCCATCCCAGGAATTCCAAGGTGCAGAGATGCAGACACTAGCCTCCCCTGGTTCTATGTAGCCATCTACACTCATGGGTCATGATTTCTCTTTTCTGCAGTGCTGGGGATGAAATTCAGGGCCTTGCATATTTTACACAAATGCTCCACCAGAGTTACACCCCAGCCAGTTTGTGGCCTCTAAGGTGGTACAGCTAGACCAAATTGGGACAGTTGTTCCCCACAGGATCAAACAGATAGAGGAGCTTTCAAGGATCATCACCCCCCAAACCCTGCAATGTTCCCCCCAAAGGAACCTCATCAGGATCTCTGGACTGTATGGACTGCACAAACTTGTAGGTTAGGAAAAGTAAAAGTATAGGGGTGGAAATGCTGCTTGAAGCCATGGCACTCATTCAGCAACAGTATTCTAATATCAATTTTCCAACTGTGGGTTAAAAAAAGAGTTCTATAAAAAAAAAAAGTAATGGAGGGAGTGGCCCCTGACTCTGGGTATTCTCTAAGTCAGTAAATATCACTGTTAAGATGTCACTATTAAGGGTCGTCTGAGGTGTTTTGTTTTGTTTTTATTCAACTAGAATGATACTTTACAATAAACTACATCCTCAGCCCTTTTTATTTTTTTATTTTGAGACAGTGTGTTACTAAGCTGCTTAGGTCCTTGCTAAGGTGCTAACGAGGTTGGCTTTGAACTTGTGACCCTCCTGTCTCAGCCACCTGAGTTGCTGGAATTACAGTTGTGCACCACTGTGCCCAGCAAAAGGTAGTCTGAATTCCAAATATAACTCATACTGCTCTTTCAGAGCCAAGCATGACCACAACAGGCAGGTGGATTTGTGTTACTGAATAGCTCCATACCTCCTAAGGTCACCCCAGGGAAGATGCGTACCTTCTGGTAAGGACAGCCTGTGGCTAGGGTGTGGGACCCCCAGTGGGCTGCTAGACCAAGCTCGGGTGGGTGGGTTCTGGCTTACAATGTCCATAACTCTGGTGCAATCAGAACAGTGTGCCACTCTAGCTCCTCAGGCCTGGCAGGCCAATCAGTCTTGGGAAGAGGTTGCATGCCACCTTGACCACTCACCCTGGCTGGCACTTTCCACACTCAGTCCTGTCTTGGGGCAGCAGAGCCATTATAGATGCTGTGGGAAGCCCCAGGTCCCAGGGAATGGAATAGTGACATCATTAGTTTCTTCTGGGAAGTTTTTTATTTAAAGTATTAATTGGGGTTCTTATTCTTACCTCAGGCAATGCATGCTGATATTATCAGTTTATTTCATTAAGAAAATTTTGGTCTCCAACCACTAAAGTGACTTTACAACTTTCGCACAAGTGTTTACATAATCTGGCCAATGATAGCCCCAGCAAACTCCAACACCTGGCTCTGCACTGACCTTGTTCCCTGGATTAGGAAGGACAAGCTAGAGGGAGACCCACATCATGAGGCTGATCCCTCCAGTGGTGGGGAGAGAGCCACAGGGCCCAGGCAAGATACCAAGAGTCTGAGGCAGTTAAACAATGTGAGTCAGCTCAGGGCAAGACCTGCCCTCCAGCAGGAATCTAAATCAACAGTATGTAACTGTCTATGCATGAACTAACTAGCTTAAGGAACTAATTTATCTATAAAAACAGAGCTCAGTATTTCCTATCCTGATGACAAGATGTCTCCTCACAATTCTGCCCTCCTAAGTCTACTTCCAACATGGCAATACAATTATTCACCTGTCACAGGCCCTCTGCCCAGGAAATCCACGATGCCCAGCCAGCCCCTATCCTTACCTATGAGACCGACACTGGCTGCAAGGTCATAATAGTAGGAAAAAGCATAAAAGTCCACGTGCTTCACCTCTTCTGTTCTGTGTACTTTATTTCGAAGTACTTCTGACACTCGGCTGGCACACAGCTCATAGAGGCTCCCTGCAGGGAAAGGAAAAGCATACACCCAGCAGTTGAAGAGCCCTGGGCACTCAGGCCATATGTGGCTTTTAGGGGCCTTTCTTAGTGATTTCATGTGGTACCAGAAGCCCCCGCTGATCCCGAGTCAGGGGCTGCTTACTGCACATGGCAATAGCAACCATGCTGGTTCAGATCAGCAGGCAAGGAAGCCCCCACGTACAGAGAGGCCGGAGAGAATGGAGCCCAGCTCTGAGGCAGGTGGCCTGGGTACCCTAACTCTGGCCCCAGGTAAAGGGCCCTGTGTAGCTGTCCTCACCAGCCAGCGGGTATCAGTCACTCTGTACTCACTGTCTGCCAGCCAGCACTGAACTACATGTCAGCAGCTGCCTCAGAAGTGCTTCCTTTCTATATCACAGGGTGGGGGACACTGAGCCCCTGTGGGCCACTTGTCAAGTTCACATAGCTGGCTGGAGAAGAACGGCAACACGGGGCCCTAGAGATTAACAGACTCTGGAGGTCATACTGACAGCCTTGGACATCTCATTAGGCACATCAATATCCCATACTTTGATCTGCCTTAAACCAGTCTCCCTTTCTTTTCTATTGTTCTCAACAGGCCACAGAGCCATGCTCTTGACCTTCAGATCTCATTTCCTCCCAATGTCTTTCCTCAGAATAGTCATACTACTGCCTCCTTGTTCACTAAAAAAAAATATTTTATCTCAGGGCTTTTGCTCTTGCTTTCCCCTGGCCTGGAGAATCCCTGCTTTAGATCTGGGCATCTCATTCCCATTTCTTCATGTTTTGGCTCAAATCACCCCACAGGCCTTCCTTGTCTGTCCTGGTTAACATTGCAATGTACCTCTTGGCACCCCCATTTCCTTGTTTTATTTTTCGTCAAAGAGATTTTTCATGTTTTACTGTCAGATTCCTCCTCAGGGGACATCAGCTGCACTGTCCTGCTGTATGCTGGGTGCCTACAGGGAGACCTGATCCTCAGAACATGCACAGTGGACCAATGAGTCAGTAAACCTGTGTGGTCACCAAAGATGGACCTTGCTTATGCCATATGTTCAGCCTTGGAACAACAGTTTAATATTTTCACAGACTCCAAGGGTATACAGCAGTACAGATCATTAAGCTGAGAGGGCAAGTCTTGTGAGGCTTACTCACAGGACAGCAGGATCTCCATATCCAGAGCAGGCAGTGGGAAGTAGCCTTTGCCAGAGAAGCCTCCATTTCTCTGTGTACAAAACTGGCCCAACACAGGACTTCTGGGCCAGCAGCCCAATAAAGCCGTTTGTCTTGGAACCTGAGGTCCTTCCTCATTGGAGGCCTGACAGGAAATTGGGCCCTTTGGAAAGAAGCACTGGAGACAGACAAGGAAGCCTTGTGCACAGGCCCTACAGAGGAGAGGCAAGGCAGCAGTTCCCAAGCTCTGACAAAGGCCTCTGGAGCCCTGGTGAGGGTTCCCAGAGCTGCCTGTGTTTCCAGGGCCAGTTTGGGCTTGTCTGTGCCAGTCTCCTTCTGAGAGGTATTTGGAAAAGGTACAGGGGATGGGCAGGCTGCCAAGTGGACCTCATAAGCCACTGACAAATGACCAACATACCATACCTGCCTTCTGTCCTGAAATCCTGTATGTTATTTCAGCATGTTCCCACTCTCCTTTGAAACTTGGAGATAGACAGGGGCTGACCAAGTCCTTTCCATCCTTAACTGAAATAAAGAGATAAAAATGAAAGAAAAAAAAAAAAGGAAAGAAAAAAAGCATAGTGCCACCAGACCAGGGCCTTACAGGACAGGGAAAGCAGCTGGGCATGGTGGTGTAGGCCTATAATCCCCAGCAGCTCGAAGCTGAGACAGGAGGATCATGAGTTCAAAGCCAGCCTCAGCAATGAAGAGGCCCTAAGCAACTCAGTGAGACCCTGTTTCTAAAGAATATACAAAATAGGGCTGGGGATGTGGCTCAGTGGTGCAGTACTCCTAAGTTCAATCCCTGGTACCCAAAACAAAACAAAACAAAACAATCCAAACAAACCAGAAAATGATGTTGCCTGGTATTCAAGGTACTGAAGTGCTTCCTTCTGCTAGAGGAAACCTGATTCCTGGGGACATTCCAAGTCAGCTGGAGAGGAAAACCCTCCTCCATCACAGAAGATGCAGCAAACTTCATTTGCCCTGGAAACATGACTATTTGCCATTCCTTGGGGACTTCAGGGTTCTAGGTACTGGGCCAAGTACAGTTCAGTCAGCAGTCATACAACCCTATTGGGAGGGGAGCCATCATTACCCAATTTTAGAGATGATGAGGTTGTAACTGGCAAGTTGGTGGCAAGACCAGGAACTGAAGCCACCTTGAAGCCACCATGCCATAAATTAATTGGTGGTTACTCTGTAGAACAAATCCAGGGCCTACAACTAGCAAAAGAAGCTGGTATCTGGTGTCCAAGACTACCCTCTCACTGCCATCCCTCACAGACAGCAGGGTGCTCTCCACTGAGAGGGTCTTGTCCCCTTCCTGGATTCTGGTCTGGGTAGGAAGTAATGGTATGTGAATTTAGGGTGGTCCTCCTTCTTTGGAGGTGCCACATAAGCAGCCTTGTCTATCCTTCTGGGGGCAAAGCCACACAGAGTAGTGCCATGGCACAGAATGCCAGCCTGAGCTTCCCCTACTGCAGCCACACAAGACTCTGGGACTCTAGTGAAGCCATCACCTGACTGAGCCCTGTGGAATCATGAGACACAACAATAAAACAACTACTATTTGCTGTTTTTCTTTCTTGAGGCACATGAGATCAAACCCAGTGCTTTAGGCATGCTAGGCAAGCACTCCATCCCAGAGCTGCATCCTCGGCCCCACCGTTTGTTGTTTACCACTGTCTGGGGTGATCTGTTATGCAATAAAGATGGTGAAACCTTCCCAATGCTGTGATGAGTGGGAAGAGAATGGAAGTTGGGCCATACTCCATAGCTAACCACAAAGGGGCAAATAGTGCCTGCATTCTCCTTGTCAGCTAAAAAGCAGGTGTTTCCGGCCCTGAAGTGAGGGGTGCAAGTGTTTCTGAGACATGGACATATTTTTGGTTTACAACAAGGGGGATACTATTGAGAATACATACCAAGATTTGAAAGAGTGAACCTGGAATAGGGTTACATAGAAAAATGATAATTCTAGTTGAACATTCCTACCCTGGCAGAACCACCAGGCCCTTGAAGAAGTGGCAGAAGTGTTGGACAGGTGAGGGCAGAGTGTGGCCCCATGGCTGGGGAACATACTCTGTACTCTGGATAGAGTGCCTCACATACCCATACACATCTGGTCACTGTCAGTGCTGTCTGGAAAACCAGGCTGATACTAGCCTCAGGGTAGCCAAAACTAGATTATTCTAAGAGCATTTGTGCATGGACTTGAGGCCCACTGGAAGGAGCAGTGAAGACCTGGAATGAGATGCTCCATCTAATGACCTGGCAAGACTCAGGTTTCTTCTTAGACATGACTGTAGGAAAGGGCCAAGCTGCTGCTTCTTTTTTTGGTACCTGAGCCACATCCTCCAGCTCTATTTTGTATTTTATTTAGAGACAGGGTCTCACTGAGTTGCTTAGCGCCTCCCCATTGCTGAGGCTGGCTTTGAACTTGCGATCCTCCTGTCTCAGCCTCTTGAGTTGCTGGGATTACAGGTGTGTGCCACCGCACCTGGAAGTCAAGGTTTTTTTTTTTTTTTTTTTTAATGATCTTTCATAAAGCAGAGATGAGGGAGGGATGTTCTTGCAAGTGGGAATCGCTGTGACTGAGAAAAGCATCCCCTGATGGAAACCGCTTCAGCATCCCCTTCTCATAGTCTGTCCTGAACTGTCTGAAAAACCAGGTCATCTCTTCAAATCCCTAAAAACAAGTTCCTATGGTTTGGATAAGTGTCCTCCAAAGGCTCAAGTGCTAAAAGTTTGCTCCCCAGCATGTGGTACTATTCAGAAGTGGTGGAAGCTTTAGGAGGTGGGGCTACTTGAATAAAGTTAGGTCACTGGGAGACAGCCCTTGAAAGGCCCCCACCCCCTCCTATCTCTCTTTATGCCTGCCAGCTGCCATGAGGTAACCTCTGCCATGCACTCCCACCCTGACTGTTGCCTCACCACAGGTCCAAAGGCAACAGGGCTAACTCTCCATAAATGTCTGAAACCATGAGCCAAAGTAAATCCTTCCTCCTTATAAGTTGTTTATCTCAAGCATTTTGTCACAGTGATAGCTTAGTAACACACAAGTTGACTCTAAATGTAGGTGAGGACTGTATAGTTATTTGGGTTCCTAGAATTTGTGTTTCAGAAATGATTTCACTAGTGCCTCATAAAAATACAATGGTGCTAGGAGGTAGCTTAGTGGTAGGGTGCTTGTGTAGCATGTGCAGTGCCTTGGGTTGATCCCTAGTACGATAAAAACAAAACAAAGAACAAAGCAACAGAATGTGCAGTAAATCATGTCCTCCTCCATCCCCGTCAGGACATCACTGACGAGATATGAGGCCTGTCTTTCCTAGGCCTACAACAGCCCCAGACCTTTGCTGGGTGGCTGGTGGCCAGCATGCAGTGAAGGAGACTTGAGCAACATGTTCCACTTACCAGGTTTTCCCTCCACACCGCCTAAGATCGCCAGTCGTGCTGACATCAATCCCAGTCCCAGGTAGCTGTGGAAATAGTGCCCTGGGTAAGGCTGGCCAGAAACACATCCATCTGTCGGGGCCCAACATGAGTGGGAAAGGTGGGACCTTGTGCAGTGACAAAGCATTTAGTGGGCTTTCCTGCTTCTTTTAGAAGTCTCTTACTGAGTTTAGGGCATGATTCAGCTAATTAATTCAACAAACGAGGGCCTATTACAATGTGGACAATGCAGTGAATGAGACAGACTCCACTCTAGTTTTCACAAAGCACAAGAATCTATGAATATGCCACATTGCAAATAGGTGGCTTAGGAAATTCCTGCACAGTCCATGGACTCGCCTCAGTCTTTTGCAAGCCTTCTTCAAAGCAGGACAGAATAAGCCTGATAGAAGAATGTGATTTTACTACAAATAAATTTAAAAATGATGAAACTGGGTAGGGCAGAGCAGGCAGGATGAGGAGGATTCAGATGAATACAGCACGAGGGATTCTAGGATTTGGCATATCTGCTGGTATCTAGCTACTCCATGAGGCAGGAGTTGGAGGCAACCAGGGGACGTGCAATGCCAGTAGAGCTGCCCGCCTGTCCCATCAGCCTCCCCCAACTCCAGTAAACTTACCTGTAGGAGTAGAGCTTATAGGTCCTGTTAAACATCTGCAGTGCTGTCAGATGGCCAGGTGGAGAGGCCTGAAGAGTGCCCTGGGGAGGAACATAATGGTGACTATATTTCCCTTGTCTTTCCAAAACACCGTCCCCATTCCTTCAATTCATTTGGATGAACAGGGACATTCAGATGGAGTCAGTTAAATGAAATTTTCATTAAGTCCTGCGCTGTGAAAGAGTAAGGAGCAAGTAACAAAAAATAAAGCAACCAGAATGTTTCTTCCTTTTAAGTAGTGTTTTACCCATTCTGAAAAACATGGCCCAACCAAAAGAATCAGGATATCAGTAAACTTCATTACTCTGTTCCACTGGAAACTAAAATAATAGAAAAATCGGTGGGAGTTTTTTTTTTTTTTGCAGTACAGGGATTGAACCCAGGTAACTTTACTATTGAGCTACATCCCCAGCCCTTTAAAAAATTTTTTTTAGTGTATTATAGATATACATAATTGTGGGGTTCATTTTGACATGATCATTGAAGCTAGAGAACATCATGCTAAGTAAAATAAACTAGACACACAAAGTCAAGGGTTGAATGTTTTCTCTCACATGTGGAAGCTAGAGCAAAATAAGGGGGAAAATTGGGAGGATTGCCATGAAAACAGAGGGGAGATCAGTGGAGTTAAGAGGGGAGATAGAGGTAAGGAGGGAGAAAGACGGTGTAAAGGGAGGAACTGCAGAATGAAATTGACTGAATTAAGCTATGTACACATATGAATACACTACAATGAATTCCACTTATATGTATATCTATAAAGCACCAATTTAAATTAAAACAATTGAGAAATAGAAGACCTTTGGCCTTTGTATTTTGAGACAGGAATTCATGAAAAGCTGAGGCTGACCTCAAACTTGCTATCCTCCTGCCTCAGCCTCCTGAGTTGCTGTAAACAGGCATGGTTAGGAGGGAGCTATTTTAAATAGCAGATAATATTAACTGGAAGCATTTTTATCTCCTTAAGAACATTTGTCTTGACAAGGGTAGAGCTCTCTCCCCTCCTGTGAGTCAGAATATATGCTGTCTGCTCTTGCTCCTTTTCTGGGACCCTGCAAGGGATGGGAGCCACTGGTTTCATTTTTTCTGACCCAAAGGTTTCTGATTATGATCTAATTTATCACCCCACTGAAGATGGAATTTCTATTTTGGTTTTGTTTTTCAGCTGAGTTAAGATTCAAATAAAAAGTGTTATCTGTGTGGGAGCTGGCCCAGGGTTTGGAGGTGTGGAGTGACTTCTACCAGCCAATGGGCCTTCCCTGGGCAGCCCCTGACCTGCCTCCCCTAAGGCACTGAGGCAGGCAGGGCTGGTTACCTCGACCCGTGGAAGGAAGGTGATCTGAGTGGATCCTCCGCCCAAATCCAGCATGCCCACACTGCTCCTTCCTGGGGTTTTCAAACTGCCTACAGCACAGCGGGTGAAGACACAGCACTGTCATGTTAGTAAGTAGATGATGACAGTAGACAGATCAAAGTGATTAATAGCTGGACCTTTAGCAGAAAGGAAAACAAGACAGAAAAATAACTGCAACTAATTAAAAATCTCCATTGAAAGGAGTACTGTATGTTTAAAGGACAACATCAATGGCTCTACCAGCTTTGGCATTTTTAATTTTTTTTGGTACCAGGGATTAAACCTAGGGGTCACATCCCAGCCCCCTTTACTTTCTATTTTGAGACAGTGTCTTGTTAAGTTTCATAGGGCCTCACTAAGTTGATGAGGCTGACTTTGAACTTGAAATCCTCCTGCCTCCGCCTTCCAAGTTGCTGGGATTATAGGGGTGGACCACCTTGCCCAACCCCAGCTTTGGCTTTGACAGGCTGACACTGCCTGTCTGGAGAGACTGTATACTGGCTGCATTCACCAGGTCGCAGGCCGCTGCCTTACCTCCCAGGGAAATGCTGGAACCTGGGACACAGGCCCTGGAAGGATTCCAATCCTCTCCCTTACCCATTGGTCCCATCTTCATTTCTGTTCCCCAAAAGCCCGTGAGGTGGACATTCCTCATCTATCCTCTAGCATCTTCTCCCCACACCCCCAAAAGGAGCAAATCCTGCCAGGAAACTTCTTTCTTTCTCATATCTGTATCAGACACACTGGCTTTTCCACAATTCCACTGCAGGGACTTGTACTTGTAATCTATGTAAAATGACTTCTTTCTCTCTGTTCCCAAGAATAGATGTTTTGTTATAAGGTGATTAGCATTTGCATCACATTGACTATTAAGAAACTTGGCTGTTTTTACTCACTACTTCTCTCAGAAATGAGAGAACAGGGCCCCTGGTAGAGGTTTGACGGGAGATAGGCAGGAACAGTGGGTGGGAGAAATAGTTCAGGAGAGGTGCTCTTCCAGCATGCACCCCTGTGAGTGCACAGCTGTCCATAGGGCCAGGCACCCCCCCCCCACACTCCCCGCAAACCCCAACAGCCTACTTCAGGACCAGCAATGCTGTGAAATCCAAGGGGTTATAAAACAAGATCCCTGCTCTTCAGAAAGGCCATCAGCCCTCCTTTACGTATGACGTGAACTGTTAGCCTTTCCCTTTGAAGTAAACACACACCTGTTAGGAAGTTGACAGTGATCCATGCTGATACGCCTACAAAAGAGTGGCAGAAGCAGCACTGTAATTGCTTGAGACGCTGTTAACATAACACCCAGATTGCAGGAGCACCAACTGCCCACTGCCTGAATGCTCCCAGTCTTCAGACCATCCACAGAGAGGTATTCATTCATAAGTAGATCCAGCAGCTTCTGGCAGGCTATTCTAGAAGATGCCACACTGAAACCCAGAACACTTTACCAAAAGCCATGCCTCCTTCCCATTCTTTATCACCAGCTTCTTCTTTTGGAAGAGGCAGAAAAAGAATGTCCCCTCTACTCCCATATAAACTCACTTGAAAAAGAACCCAATGTCCCCTCCACTCCCATATAAACTCACTTTTTGTGTGTGTTATGTGGTACTAGGGATTGAACTCAAAGCCTCATGCATGCTAGGCAAGTGTTCTACCCCTCGCTACTTCTGCAACCCTACAAACTTACTTTTAAGGTCATATTAAAATCAGGGCCAGTGAGGATCCTCAAATGTCTGTCTTAGAATTAGCAATGTAACCACAATATTCTAAACATGGAAGCAATTGGGTTCTCTCCAAACATCCTTAACACTGAAGACAAGATGTTTTCAGAAACTTTATCTGTGCTAAATCTGAAGTTGGTCAAGATGAGAATCTGTCACACTGGACCCCCAAAGACCACCTGGCATATTTAAATTTTGAGTGGGACCCTAACCTCAATTATTTTTCATTTCTGTATCTGACCAAGGAGACAGCTTCCATGTGTGGAATTCCCCGTAGCAGTATAGAGCCCTCTTGTTGTGACAGCATTACTGTCTGGAGGTACTTTTGGATACTTTACCTTCGTCCGTTCCGTTCATGATGGAAACACAGTCATCCCCTACCAGGAAAGGTGATGCCTTAAACACCTCTTTCACCTAAATGTAAAGAGAGACATTACTTCATCATTTAGAATGTATTCAGTGGTTTCCAGGTGTGGCATGTAGTCAGCAGGCAGTAATCAAAACATGGAGGGGTCTGAAGAGCAGCAAAGCTTCCATTTCTCTTTAAGCTTATTCTATCCTCTGTGAGGGGTTTCTTCACTTAATCTCCTTCCCAGGCTAGCTAAGGCATATGCTGCCCTTGTGACCTTGTCTTAGGACGCTTTGGACTGGAAGAGCTCTGGGGGAATGGATGGGGTGGGTGGGTGTGAGCTGTTGTACAGTGCGACTGCAGGGCCCCAAAATGCTGCCCAGCTTTGGGATGTGAGATGAAGGGTGTGAAGCCCTACAAGGCAGAGCTCAAACCTGGGGACCACTTATATAGTCTAGTGGGCACTGCCCCGGGGAGCCAGCCCAGCAGAAGGGAGGCAGAGGCCATGAGCATTTTGGTGTATTTCCTTCTCTCTTTTCTAGCATGTCTTAGTATACAGAAACTTACATGCATCTGCACACCCCAACCTCACTGATGTCCCACAGTTCCACGTTGTGTGTAACCCTGATTGATGTACACTGTGTCATCACCTCTCAGGTAAATAGTGTAGGAACAGTGTAGAGATTGAGGGGGATTATTTTGCCTAAAGCATTTCCTGATACAGCCAACAGGAAGAGTCATTCCCAGGCCCAGAGCAGAGTGCCAGGCAGTTAGGGACATGGGAGCCCTGAGGAGTGCTGGGACTGGAGAGGAGGCTAAGGGCCTCTTGAGCAGTCATATCACAGCATCAGACCTAGAGCACGACTCTGTCCCTAGAGAAAATGAGCACAGTAAGTTTGGGCTGAGATGTCAAAGAGTTTAGTTCCCATAGCCCTCTGACTGACAGCAAATCTCTGGGTAGGGGATGGACTTCAAAAGCAGTGTACTTTTAAAATAAAGCTGTTTTTCTTGTTACAAGACACAGATCCACTCTAGAAAACATACATATCCTTAAATATCATTCAAAAGACACCTAAAGGTGAGGCTGTGAACACTGAAGGTTCCCTCAGGACACTTCCATGTATTCTTTCTGCTCAACACTGGCTACAGGGAGAGTGTTTTTAGCTATCATTAGCCACCCCCTAGAGAGGGAAATGGCTCAGCTCACCTTTTGCAATAACTTATGGGCCTTTTCTCCTGGTAACAGACGCAAACCAGCTGTGGCCTTGAGGACCAGAGGGGTGACCTTCCAGAAGTCGAATGGAATCTCTTGTTTAGCAACATCCAGCAGTTCCTGAATTCCCTGAGCACTCTGTGGACATTGTAAAAGCAAATCAGGGGCGGTCATACCCAACATACAGTGCTATCTCCCCACTTTTTAAAATATATAAACATTTTTTTCTAATTTTCAAAACTGTAGAACTAAGTACCATGAATAACTACTCTGAGGAACTATGTCACACAAAGGTGTAAAAGACCCAAAGGTTGCATGAGGTCCTATGTCAGAAGAGGTGTGGAGTAGGGAGCAATTTGACAAAGTGTAGCTGAGCATGTCAAAGGTACGGTACACTGCCACAGAGAGCAACTGACAATGTCTGTCCAAGAGGGAAACTCACTTTTACCCAGAAGTTCCAATCTAAGAATTCACGTGGGGATTATGAAATACATATCAGGTGACAGACTTTACTACTCTATTGTGTATGTAAAATAAAAACAAAGAAAATAACACATGTATATGTAAACCAGCTCTTTAAGGCTACATGAGACAGCAGGGGTGTGATTCTGGGGGCAGCATGGAGGGATACTTGCTGATACCCTAGCAAGCTTAGAAATTTGTCTCATTGAATGTGTGTTACCTACGCAGAAGGTTAAAAATTTTAAAATCCTATGAGTTTATTCTAAGATATATAATTTAATCAGGTTTTAACCTCATTTCTATTCTCAAATACAAATTTCTACTTGTTTTTAAATCAAGCTACAAGAAAGCAAGGCTTGTGTTATGATGTCTGACAACATGACACATCTGTATCCAAGTACAGGATTTGGAAAATGGTGGAACCAGGTTGACACGTAGCTCATGTCACTTATTTAGCACGTGCAAGGCCTCAGGTTCCATTTCCAGAAACAGACACATGCACACATTTGCATGCATGCACGCACACACACACACACACACACACACACCTGAAACCACAATTCTACAAGCACCCTGTTTTGCAAGTGCCTTAAACCAGACATCCTATAATAGTGCAGTTGTGTTAAGAGCTTTAGAATTATAAACACTACAAACTTACAGAAATCATTATGTAGCAGTTTAATGAAACTTCTTTTGTTTATTTATTCTTTTACATTTACTTTGTTTTTGGATTTTGCATAACAGACTTTTTTGTGTATGTGTGTATGGCACTGGGGATTGAACATAGGGCCTTGTTCATGTTAGGCAAAATTCTCTACCATTGAACTATACCCCCAGTTCCTGTAATACATATATACTTTGTAATATATTTTTAATTTTTTTTGTTGTAGTTTTTTTGATGGAAGGTAGGAAACACTGACTAAAAGAAATTAAAAGAAAAAAAATGTGTAAAACTCACAAGACAGTGTGAAAAAATAAGAGACTGCACACTTATCTCCACCTGACCATTCTCAAAGGCACCAAAGCCCCTGCCAGCACCAGCAAAGATGCCTTTCTCTAAGAAGATAGTCTACCTAATCCAAAGGAAAGGAGTTGGCTTTTTTTAAATATATTTTTTTGAATTTTTTAAAAAATATTTATTTATTTTTTTTAGTTTTCCGTGAACACAACATCTTTGTATGTGGTGCTGAGAATCGAACCCGGGCCGCACTCATGCCAGGCAAGCGCGCTACCGATTGAGCCACATCCCCAGCCCAGGAGTTGGCTTTAACTATTAGAAGACACTTGATGAACAAATAGACAAAAGAGGATTATTACCTTTTCAACGTCGTCAGCATAAGCGGAAAGACCGGGCTTCAGTGCTTTGAAGGTTTCATGGGTCAAGGTGGGGGTTTCTAAGGGGAAAGTGTTTTTAAAAAGGCACAACAATGAGTACAAGCACAGACATATGAATATATATATATATATATATATATATATATATATATATATATATATATATCTGTCACTAGCTGAACTTTTGGTCTGACCACATAGACCAATGCCAGAGTAGTAGAGACCCTATCCTTTTTTTGTCTAAATTTTGCCTCTTAAGTTCAGAAGAACATGAATATGCTACCTAATATTTGGGTCAGAACTTTGTTCAACTTTGGGAGGTGAGGATGTAGCTCAGAGGACTATTGCTTGCATGCATGAGGCCCTGGGTTTGATCCCCAGTACTGTAAAAAACCAAAACAAATAAACCCAACAATATTTATTGTATACAAACACTCACAGAACACTACATCTATTTAAAGTGTTGAATTTTAACAGTTTATTCTTGCTTATTCAACCGAACAAATGATTTCAACCTATAAATATGAAAATCCCTTCCTTGATGCTGGAATGGACGTATCACAGTCCTAAAGATTTAGGAGTCTGTTAAAGAAATTGAGTATTTTACCTTATTAGGAGGCTGAACTCGAAGGAAAGTGTTCAGATGCATCCTGTGGCCTCAACCCAAGGCCTCACACATGCTAGTCAAATGTTCTATTACTGAGCCTCACTCCAGCCTTTAAATTAGCTTCAAAATCACTTCTGGAGGGAGGAATGGTATCTAAATATTTATTTATAGGAATAAATGACAAAATAAAGCAATATCATTTACCCTGTCGAATCAGCAAGAATTAACCATACTAAAACTAACACTTTAAATACATATGAATTTTTGTATGTAAACTATCTTCAATAAAGGTAATTTATTTATTTTTTTTAAAAAAGCAAAGTTTTAGCCCAAACATAAAAATAAATAATAATGAAATTAGATAAACTATTCCACAATAGTTTGAGAGAGAGGTTATTGGTATCAACAGAGAGCAGTTAAATGCCAGAATAGTATCTACTCAGAAGAGTCACTTTTTTTGTGGACTAGAGGAGGGACACTCATATGTGTGACCTGGCACCTGTCTGGCAAAAGGCTTGACATGCTCACTAACTCTAGGTCAGAAATGCACCAAGGAGGGCAAACCTTAGGGTAACAGGCATGGGAGATAAACAGTGAAGAACTGGGCAGCAACCAGGGTCCCCCTACAGAAACCACCTGCCCTCTAGACAGAGCCCCAACCCTACCCTAGGAGGCAAAGCTGGTAGGGGCTCAGATTCCAGGTTCCTTCTCACTGCTGAGGGCCATACCATCTGTCATCACCTGGCTGTCTGGGCGTACTGTGGCAGCTTCTGGCAGCCTGGGTTCCCGGTTTTTGCTATTTATCTAACTTGCCTGTATTCCCGGTTTTTATAAACCTGAATATAGAGTTACTTCCTGCTTTGAACTCTTGTGATATGACCTCTGGCCCAGGTCATGGTCATAGCCACCCAAACAGTCTGTATGGGAGGGGACAGGCCATTAAATGCCATCTAGGGTCTCAACTGTTCTACAGCAGTGATCATTACTTGATACTATTACAATAACTTGGGAATCCTGGGGAATTTAGATGCCACATCCTGAGTCAACATCTCTTAATAACTGCATTATTTGTGAGTGCTGCTAGGATCAGACTCAGGACCTCATACATGCTAGGCAAGTAATCTACTCTGAGCTACATTTTCAGTATCTATATTTTGATAAGCTATCAGGTGAGTTCAAGGCAGGGCTCCAGCCTATACTGTCTTCTAGTTGAGAAGATTCCAAGAGCCCTGCCATGATAGGGGAGAAGGTAGACCCCACATCTGGGCACAAAGAGGCTCACAGTCAGGCCGGGATACCTCCAGGAGGCTGAGCAAATTGGAAGACATGCACGCGGGTGCCAGTGCTTCCGGCATCAAACATGATCCCATAGAAGACCTCATGACCACGTATAGCTGATCCTAGTGAGCTGCGGGCCTGCTGTCCCCACCGGGCCCCTGAGGCTGCCCCAGCGATAGTGAAAAAGGCCTGGGTGGCAGAGGCCCGGTGCCACTTGATGTAGACGACGTAGATGAATAGGCCCAAGCACAGTCCCAGGGGGTATGCCACCTTCGTCATCCGCAGGGTCCCATGATTTGGTATTTTTCTCATTTCTTAGTCTGCCAAGGACTGTGCTTGCAACTGCTGGTAGGAAAAGAGGAGAGGCAGAAAAACTATGTCAGATTTAAAGGTTTCAATGTGTGTCAGAAGTCCCGCAGTCCAGAGACAAAATGTACAACCAGAAACTGGCCTGCATTTACTCTCTGGAGTCAGAAGCTTCATTTGATCCTTGAAATGGTTCTGGAAGGTGTGGTCCAGGACTGAGGGCTATAAACACTGGGTAACCTGTCCACGGCTATATGCTTTGTAGGTGCTGAAGTGGGCACAGATCATAGCTGTGGCCTAAGTGTCTGGGATATATTGCTACTTAAAATAAAAAGCTATGTGTAAGCAATGTCCCTAGGTCATTCAAGTAAGAGAAATGAGTATCTCATTCATTCTTTGAATCATTACTTATACTTCCACTAAAGCAATTTACTCTTCCAAAGGTTTAAAAAACTGTCCCTCAGGCAACTAGAGAGTCTAAAACAAGTGGGAAAAATGTGACTCATTTTTTCTGGAAGTTTCACAACAGAGGCCTCCTTTCATTCGCATAGTACATTCCTGCCAAGGAGGAAGTAATGTTTGCATGCTTTCAAAGCCTATGAAAATTCTACCCAGAGAGCAAAATAAATTAATTTGTCACTGTATATTTGGTTCAATACACCCCCAAATGAAAGCATTTGCTCATGTTTTATTATCAGCTCCTGGTGCAAGGCAGTATGTGGAAACCCGAGTCTTCCATGGATAAGAAGTGAGGGAACTGATTCTCAGGGCTTCCCCTGTCCTTGGGGAACATCCATCACTCTGTCAGTCCTGTACTTTCTTGTCTGTTGTGGGGAGTGCAGTGGCACTACTAGGGGAACAGAGGGTAGCGAAATGAGAGCTGGAGCAGGACCTGGTCTGGGCTTAAACTGCAGTAGCATGTGACCGTCAAACTGTTCTCTCCAGAGGGGCTGGTCTCCTCATCTGTAAGGTTTGGCTGCTCACAGGAAAGCTGCATCTTGACGTTGGGGATTCAATGTGCTCAGGACAGGCTACTGAATGCAGAATTTGCAGAGGGGCAAGAGAAGGAAACATCCCCTGGGAACTAGGAACAGTGAGGACTGTGTGGCCACATTGCCTGGGGAGGGAGACACTATAGAGGCGCCAGTCCTATGTGAGCTGCATGCCAACCCTGAGGCTGCTAGGTGGGGAAGAAATGGAATGAAAAGGTTCTTAAGGAGAGAGCATGTAGCAGGCCTTCCATGGTCCCTCCTTCCAGGGTTTCAACTTGTGGTCACACCCAGATGCCCTCAGGACCCTAGAGCTCAGGGCTGACAAGTACTGCTTCTATGCCCCTGGCTGAGGGAAGAGGCCTAAAATGGGGCAGGAGGCAGGACAAATCACCCTTCTGGGTTACAGAAAGGCTCTCCAGGCAGGTGCTGAGAAGCAAGCCTCCTTCCCCAAACCTACCAGCTAGATTGACTAGGGAACACAGACAGAAGACCTGACTAAAATCAGAAATAAAAGAGGACATTACTATTAATTTTACAGAATAAAAATGATTATAAGAGATTATTATGAACAATGATATGTCCTCAAATTGGATATCTAGATGAAATGGACAAATTCCTAGGAACATACAACCCACCAAGATGAATTATGAAGACATAGAGTATCTCAACAGACCTAGAAGCAGTAAGGACATTGAATCAAAAATCTCCCAACAATGAAAAGTATTGGACTAGATAGCTTCACTGCTGAATGTACTAAATATTTAAAAAAGAATTAACATAAATTCTTCTCCAAAAAATACCTCTTTACTTGTTCCATCAGGCCAGTATTATACTGATATTTAAGCCAGATAAAGACACTACAGGTACAGACCAATATCTCTTATGTATATTGATGAAAAAATCCTTAACAAACGCTAGAAAACTTTACTCAACAACATAGTAAAAGATTTATGCACCATGACCAAATGGGATTTATTCTTAGAAAGTAACATATGAAAACCAATCAATGTAATACATGCTTCATTAACACAAGGAAGAGGAAAAAAAATCACTACGAAGGAAAAAACCAACAGATTGTCTCTGTTGATGTAGAAAAAGCACATAATAAAATCTAACACATTTTCAGAATAAAAACAATCAAAATATTAGAAGTAAACTATCTCAGCATAATAAATGTCATATATGAGAAAATCACAACAGGATCAATGGTGAAAGACTTGACATTTATGGTAAGAACAGGAATAAGAAAGGATACCTGCTTCTACCACTTCTATTGAACATAGTCTTGAAAGTCCTAACCAGATCTATTAGAAAAAAAAAAAAAAAAAAACAACAACAACAGGTGGGATCCAATAAGGCTGGCCAGAGGCAGGCAGCATTCTGTGTTGTTCCATGACCTGGGACTCAAGTAGTGAGAATACTGCTTTTCTGCAAGTGATATTCCTGCTCCTGCATAGGAATCACGGTCACTGTGCATCCAGGGCTCCAGGCTTCAGCGTCAGAGTAGGTCTCCCAACTACTCACCCATGCAGGACTACCAGGTACTGGAGCAGGACCAATAGCATTATCACCAGTGCAAAACATTTGGCCATCCACATGAGCAGAAATCGTGGATGCCATGCCCACACAGGACACCTGGCAGCTTCCCACATGCAGGAACTCCAGCTGCCACTCCTGTGTGGACCCCCCATCTAACATTGTGGGGCTCCCCCAGCCGCTGCCATCTTGGGACTTCCCCAGCAGTGGAGATAGTCCCCTAAGCACAGTAGCCTGCCTGCACCCGAGAACTCCACACAGGCTCTGAAGTCAGCCAGCAGCCACACACTGCAAGCCACAGAGATCATCTCTGAAATCAAAGTCCAATACCATCGCCTGGCTCCATCCACCTGACCCAACACCCCACCATTGAAAGCCGGTGCCTCCATGTTGGGTCACATTCATCACAATTTTCGATGGGGGCAACTCCTACTTTGGAACTCTGGCTGGCCAGCTACTCAGTTTCTAACTCTCCCCTCTCTTCAGCAGCTGCTAGCCTGGCACAGTGACACTCTGGTTACCTTCACCATCCTGAGGGCAGAGACACCAACTAACAACAGATGACCCCACCTATTGGATGAGAATGGAAGCAGGAAAGATATTGATCTCCATCCGAAACAATCCCTGTTTCTTCCTTCAAGATTTTGTTTTCCTTCTCCCTCTCTATTCTCCTACCCTCACATGTTAAATACCCAACCTGTGTGAAACCAAGTATTTTGCATGTGTTAGGATTTTGAGGACTGGGATGTCTGAATAGTATATTACCATTGTGTTGTATATTCTATTTTGTTTGCTTGTTTTCCCCCACCAATTTCTACTATTTTAACCTTTTTTAAATTTTTCTTATTTTGTGTGTGTGTTTGTTTTATGTACTCTACTGTCTTCCCATTTACTTGTCTACCCAAAATTACTTCCTCTCTCTTCTCCTGCTACTAATCTTCCTCTTTAGATTTCGCTTTCACATTTCCTAAGATATAATAACTCTATATCCTCACCTTCCTCCTCCTCAGCATATCATCCTACTCCTCACCCCCAGTTCTTTGTCCACCATCAGAAACTGTAAACCCTTTTATAAACCTACTGAGTATATTATAGATAATAATTGAATTCACCATTTCTGTACATTGTGACCAAACTGTAAAAGTCTTAATAGCAAATATTTGTTTTTAGGGTGTATATTCTTTATACTGGGATCTGTTAATATTGTCCTTCTCCTCAAAGGAGAGGTATTGGAACCCTACAGGGACACTATAAGTCTATAGGGTAAAAACAGTAATGCCTCGGATCCACAGTGCTAGAAGACACACAAGCAATATGAAAAGACAAGGGAAGAAAGTGCCCCAAACAGATCAAGGTACCACATTATTAGAATCCACGGCCAGCACAGCAGAAGATATGACAGAGAAGGAGTTCAGGATGTACATAGTTAAAATGTTCTGTGAATTAAAAGATAATATAAGAGAGTAAATACAGGCAGCAAAAGATCATTTGGACAAAGAGCTACATAAACAAATACAGGAAGCAAAAGATTAGTTTAGTAGGGAGATAGAGGTTCATAAAAAAAAAAAAAAACAAAACAGAAATCCTTGAAATGAAAGAAACAATAAGCCAAATTAAAAGTTCAATTGAAAGCATCACCACAGGATCACTTGGAAGACAGGAAGTCAGACAATGAAGACAAAATATATAATCTTTAAAAAAATATTGACCACACAGTGAAAATGGTAAGGAAAGCATGAGCAGAACATTCAAGAAATATGGGACAGCATAAAAAGACCAAATTTAAGTTAATGGGATAGAGGAAGGCATAGAGTTCTAAACCAAAGGAATAAGCAATCTATTCAATGAAATAATATCAGAACATTTTCCAAACATGAAGAATGAATTGGAAAAACAAATTCAAGAGGCTTACAGGATGTCAGATGAAAAAATTACAACAGATCCACACCAAGGCACATTATAATGAAAATGCCTAACATACAGAATAAGGAGAGAATATTAAAAGCCACGAGAGAAAGGATTCAGATTACATATAGGGGAAAACCAATTAGAATATGCGCAGATTTTTCAACCCAGACCCTGAAAGCTAGAAGATCCTGGAACAACATATATCAAGCTCTGAAAGAAATGGATGCTAACCAAGAATCTTATATCCAGCAAAACTAAGCTTTAGATTTGATGATGAAATAAAAACCTTCCATGATAAACAAAAGTTAAAAGAATTCATAACTTGAAAGCCTGCACTACACAACATCCTCGGCAAAATATTTCATGAAGAGGAATTGAAAAACAATAATGAAAATCAGCAAAGGGAGGTAATACACTAAAGGAAAAACTAATCAAAGGAGAAACCAAGTCAAGTTAAACACCAAACATAAACAAAAATGGCTGGGAATACAAATCATGTCTCAATAATAACCCTAAATGTTAATGACCTAAACTCACCAATCAAAAAACATAGCCTTGCAGATTGGATTTTTTAAAAAAAGACCCAACAATATGCTGCCTCCAAGAGATTCATTTCATAGGAAAAGACCTCCACAGACTGAAGGTGAAAGGTTGGGAAAAACCATACCACTCACATGGATTGTGGAAGCAAGCAGGGGTTTCCATTTTTGTATCAAATAAAGTAGACTTCAAGTCAAAGTTAATCAAAAGGGATAAAGAAGAATACATTAACAAGACATAACAATAATAAATGTATATGCCCCAAACAATGGAGCATCTACGTTCATCAAACTCTTCTCAAGTTCAAGAGTCAAACTGACCACAATACTATAATTCTGGGTGACTTTAACACAACTCTTTCACCACCAGATAGATTGTCCAAACAAAAGCTAAACAAAGGAACTATAGAACTTAATAATACATCAATAACTTAGACTTAACTGACATATATAGACTATTTCATCATTCAATGAATGAGTATACTTTCTTCTCAGCATAGATCCTTCTCTAAGACAGACCATATATTATGCCACAAAGCAACTCTTTGCATTCATATACATATATATATATATATATATATATATATATATATATATTTAATTTAGTTTGACCCAATACCTTTGTTTTATTTATTTATTTTTATGTGGTGCTGAGGATCGAACCCAGTGCCTCATCATGGGAGGCAAGAGTTCTACCACTGAGCTACAACCTCAGCCCCACAAAGCAACTCTTAGCAAATATAAAAAAGTAGAGATACTATCCTGCATTCTTTCAGGTCATAATAGAATGAAATTAGAAATCAATGATAAAATAAAAACTAAAAGCCACTCCAACACCTGGAGACTAAGTAACATGCTACTGAATGAACAATGGGTTGCAAAATACATCAAGGAGGAGATTAAAAAATTCTGAGAGGTGAATGAGAACACAGATACAATGTATTGAAATCTCTGGGACACTATGAAGGCAGTACTAAGAGGAAAGTTCATTGCATGGAGTTCATTCTTTAAAAGAAGACAAAGTCAACAAATAAATGACTTAACATTACATCTCACAATCCTAGAAAAAGAAGAACAAATCAATACCAAAAGCAGTATAAGATAGGAAATAATTAAAATCAGAGCTGAAATCAATGAAACTGAAACAAAAGAAACAATTGAAAAAATTGACAAAACAAAAAGTTGGTTCTTTGAAAAAATAAATAAAACTGACAAACCCTTAGCCATGCTAATTAAGCAGAGAAAAAACTCATATTACTAACATACGTAATGAAAAATGAAATATCACCACAGACACTATAGAAATACAGAAGATAATTAGAAATAATTTTGAAAACTTATACTCCAATAAAATAGAAAATATCAAAGTCATTGACAAATTTCTAGAGTCATCTGATTTACTCAAATTAAATCAGGATGAAACAAAACTTAAACAGATCAGTTTCAAGTGATGAAATAGAAGATGCCATCAGAAGCTTACCAACCAAGAAAAGCCCAGGAACAGATGGATACACAGCCGAGTTCTACAAGACCTTTAAAGAAGAACTAATACCAATACTTTTCAATTTATTTCAGGAAATAGAAAAAGAGGGAGCACTTCCAAACTCATTCTATAAGGCCAATGTCACCCTGATTCCAAAACCAGGCAAAGATACATCAAAGCAAGAAAACTCCAGATCAATATCTCTAATGAATATGGATGCAAAAATTCTCTATAAAATTCTGGAAAATCAAATACAAAAACATACTAAAAAGATAGTGCACCACGATCAAGTAGGGTTCATCCCAAGGATGCAAGGTTGTTTGTACAACCATATACATTGGGTCAGATGAAGAAGTTTTAAAGATGTGGTGATGTTTACACAACAATGTGTATATACTTCAAGCCACACTTAAAAATGGCTAAGATGGTAAATTTTATTACAATTAAAAAAAAAATCCTCCAATGGCTTAACCCAGGCTGGTAACATACATGAGATCTGAGGTTGGAGGAGGAAAGGCAGTGGTGGTGGGGGACTGCAGAGGATGGGGTCTGCCTACTGCCGCACTGCATCAAATTCATCATTTTTTTAAAAAATTAAAAAAATTAGCTGTAGATGGACACAATACCTTTATTTTATTTGTTTAGTTTTTTAGGTGGTGCTAAGGATCAAACCCCGTGCCTCATGTGTGTAGGTAAGTGCTCTACCACTGAGCTACAACTCAGCCCATCAAATTCATCATTTTACAGTTTTAGTTACCTCCCACTTTCAACAAAGGCGACAGGCCATGCCTTACTGAGATTCATCCTAATTTAAATGTTCTTCTTTTTTATTATTTATTTTATTTTATTTTATTAGCATCCTGTTCCTTTGGTTCTTTTTCCACACCCTTGCAACATTTACTGCTGCTCTCAGCGCTAGCCACTTGAGTTCTCTCCTTAGGGTTCAGTGGCTGCTCAGCCAACTGCTGCTGAAGGAGGCTTGAGTGATGGCTTAGAGACAGAAGAGGCAGTAAGAGAAAGATGTAGGCTTTAACAGTGCCCTAGCACCTGAGTGTGGTCACAGATAGGAACAGATCTTTGGGGAGGGTCCATGTGGCAGGAGGAGGTAGTGGCCAGGTTTCCTACATACCAAGTTAGACATGATAGGACATCAGTCAGAAAAGGGACTGACCCTATGGTAGGTTGGGGAATTACCTGCATTAGGGGATGTTAGCTGATATTGTCAGAGAGATGTGGTATAGGGAATGCCCATGCTGAGGCAGCCAGCTCTTACCCTACTACTGCTTCTCTCATAGGCCTTTGTTAGATTATTGTAACCCAGTTTCAGGTTTCTATGTAACCATTAAATATTGACTTAATATTTACAGACAAAGTTCTGAAGCAGTCAGTAATTGCCAGAGATGAATAGTGAGGATACAAAAGTAATACTAACACCTTGTAACTATGAAAGCATTTTATCTCAGCCTCTATAGAAGTAAGTTTTTATCATGCCCTGAGTCAGTCTAAGAACCACGTTCTACACTATCAGATTAATAGGTGGTCTACCAAATTTGAGGCAAAGGTGGCTATTATCTACCCATTTAAAAAAATCCCTTATTTGCTATCTCCTGTGTTCAGGGGTCCATAAGAAGAAGGAGAAGCTGCAGGGAAGATAAGTCCATCTAGGGCATACCCCCAGCGACCCACCTCCTCCAGCCATACCCCACAGGCCAACAGTTATCACCTATTAACACAAGGATGGACTGATTAAATTATAGCTCTCACAATCCAATCATCTCTGAACATTCCTGCATTAACAAGGAGCTTTTGGGGGATACCGCATATTTAAACCATAACAAGTGTTACAGACAGAAGTCTACCTTGACCTGACTAGCTGGGGATAGCAGGTTGTCAGCTGGAAATGCATGCTCCATATAATTGGATTGGGGGTTGCCTAATCTGTTGGCCAGTTTTTGTCAGGTTTTTGTTAAAGTATTGGAAAAGGGTAAAATTGAAAATGATTGAAGCACAGGCTAAAAATGAGACATAATAAAGCACACTAGCAAAGCACTCATTCTCCTGGTAGTCATAAAAAATCTTTTCTTAGCAACAAGCCATACATGAATAAGTTCTGTCAACATCACCTGCTATTTCCTTTTCACAGGACACAGTGGGAGAGGAGGTACTTCCAGACTTCCTTACACAAATAGCTGCCCGCCTCAGGTTCTGAATATTAGGCTCTAGAAAGGAGAAATACACACACACCATATTAGCCAATTGATGCTTTCCAGGGTAGAACTAGAGGAATAAAAAACTGTTTTTGGATTTGCTGCATTATGCTTGTCAGATTTTGCAAGTGACTGCCATTTTTTTTTTCTTTCAGTGCTGGGGATTGAACCCAGGTCCTTTGCACATGCTCGGCAAGCACTCTACTACTCTACTCCAGCACATGAATAGTTACATTTTTAATACAATGGCAACATCAACAGGGAAACCTCTTCCAGAAAAACACTTTCTTTCCCCCCCATGGCTCTGCACACTGGTCTGAGGGAAAGCCTTTTTCCTTTGTAATCAAAATTCACCATCCACTTCTCCCCAGGGAGACTCCTTCCCAGAGGTTTGAGATTCCCTCACTGGTGGCTAGGGTTTGGGATTTCCTCTGTATCCTGTGTGATTGTAGGATGTGTGCCTCAGTATACATAATCTCAGAATACAGGCACCTGTAAAGATTCCTAAAACTGCCCAAGAACTTCCCTGTGACTGACTGCTTTGGAGGCACATTCAGGGTGAGGGGTTGTGCCTACCAAGACCTTCCCATCAATGTAGGCTTTCTCCCATCTCTTAAAACCATTCAATGGCTTCCATCAGCACCCTCTTTTTTCTGTTCCCTCTCATCTGTCCTTCCCTTTTCACTCTCTCCTGGCTGTTTCATGCTTCCACTGAATAAGTCTATCCTGGTATACAGCTCTGTCCAACCCAGGATCATTCCCTCTCTCAACCTGAAACACCCATGGCCACAGGTCAACTCAGGCAGAATCACCCTGAACCACCCTGACCACCTACCAGCTCTTCCTGGTCACCATTCCATCAAAGTTAATTGTCCTCCTATCTTCAGTACTGATGAAACGACAGAATCTCATAGTCCCAAATGGACTATGAGATCCAGAAGGAGAAGGGCCTGTTTGTCCTATCCCTGGCGCTGAGCTTGGTGGCGGGTCACTAACTGCTGGCTAAATGAATGAATGAGGCAGGAATGTATAGCCTCTTGGGGATAGAGACCCCTGCTATATTACCTACCCTGTTGTCCACAACACTGAACAAGGCCCACGGGTCAGCGGAGTCCAGACGTCCAGAGAGGACAAATAGAACCGGGACAGAAAGGGAGAGAGAGAGGAGCCTGGGCTGCGAGTGACCCTCAGGCAGCCCTCCAGGCGCTGTCGCTCTGAACCAAGAGTTTGCCAAGTGCGTGTGCCCTGGGAAACCAGGACCCTCCTCCACTCTGGCCCCCGCCTCCAAGGTGCCACCGCTTTGGGAAGGCCCACCTGCAGCCCCCGAAGCCCGCAGCTTACCCTGCACGGCACCCTCTACTCCAACCACGGAGGCTGGTGCCCTTCCCAGGCAGTCCGCGGGGTGCTTCCTAGCTCTCTGGCCCCAGCCAGCGTCACCCCGGCCTCTAACCTCGGAGTGCGACCCTTTGGATCTTGCAAGCCTGGGCCCCGCCCACGTGCACGCTACGTCACCGGCTGGGCGGGGCGTCGCGGTGCAGCTGAGCAGGCGCAGGCGCGGTGTGGCGTGGGGCGGGGCGTCATGGCTTACGTTCTTTGCCGAGATGCCGAGGTTCTGTCAAGGTATGCGTTCCCTTTGCTGTCCGCATCCGCATTGGCTTGGTGCTGCTCCTGAAGCCATTGAGATACTTCGGCTCCCAGACTTAATTTTCCCTGCCTCTTCCTGTTGGTGGAGTAGTTAACTGCAGCCTCATTACCTTGACCAGCTTGTGGAATGTCTCCTGAATCCCTCCACCTTTAAATTTGCTTTTTAAAGGGAATACATGCTAGAAAATGCATCCACAACTGAGTAGGCAGTGTGATCGTCTCCCATTTTCTGATGTTTTTCTTTTCTTTCTTTCGTTTTGTTTTGATTTTGTTTTTGGTACCAGAGATGGAATCCAGAGTCACTTAACCACTGAGCCATATCCCTAGACCATTTAAAAATATTTTATTTACAGGCAGGATCTCCCGGGGTTGCTTGGGACCTCGCTAAGTTGCTGAGGCTGACTTTGAATTTACAATCTTTCTGCCTCAGCCTCTGGAGCGTTGGGATTACAGGTGTGTGCCACCACGCCTGGCTTTCTGATATATTTCTAGAAGCCACCAAGGTTGCCAGACTCCAGTTGGTCCAGGAATGCTGGTCCTTAGTTTACTTAGGGGCCATGCCCTGTGGTGGGATGTACCCCAATTCGGTCACTTTCTCTTTCTACTAAGCTAGGGACTCTTTCCCAGATTCTTTTGCGGTTGGGCTGCCCGCATGACTGAGCCTGGCCAGTGAGGTGTGGGTGTGCTAGGCCCAGCCCTAAAAGACCTCTCCTTGTCAGGGGGCCCTGGGAGAGCCAAGGAGTACCGATTTTTGCAATATGGAGTGGTCGCAAGTTTACAGTCAAGACAGGACACTTTTGAGAGGGAGTGAGTGCTAACTGTATGGGATGCAGGGGCAACAAGCATAAACCAGTACTGGCAGCCAAGTCATGTAGTAGTTCTGTTCAACCACTGCTAAAGGCCACCCATGAGCACCTCATTGGACCCTGCCCTCTTTTTCCCAGATCAGACCACTGAGCTTACTAGAGCTGTTAGTAAGGTCCATCCTTACTGATGTATCTTAAATGTTTTTTTCCCCAGTTGTTTGCTATTATAAACAATGCTACAAGATGCCAAGGGCTATTTTTTTTTTTTTTTTAGCACACTTGTGGACATATCTTTGGGAAAAATTCTTAGAAATGAATTGACTATGGTAAAGGTTGTGCTTTTTTAAAATAAATACTGGATACGTATGGTTAAATTGCCCTTTCAGTTAATTGTACTAATTTACACCCCTACAAATAATGTGTAAGAGTTAATTTCCCTGCAAATTAAAACTACACTGAGATTTCATCTTACTCCAGCCAAAATAGCAACAATCAAGAATACAGGCAATAATAGATGTTGGAGAGGATGTGGGGAAAAGGTAAACTCATACATTGCTGGTGGGAACTGCAAATTAGTGCAATTGCTCTGGAAAGCAATATGGTGATTCCTCAAAAAACTAAGAATGGAACCTCTATTTGGGTTATTTCCCTTGGTACATATCCAACGGTGTTAAAATCAGCATACTAAATGATGCAGCTTCATCAATGTATATAGCAGCTCAACTCACAATAGCTAAGCTATGGAACCAAGCGAGGTGCCCTTCAGCAGATCAATAAAGAAAATATACATATGGATAAAGAAAATGTACAATAAAGAAAATATACATGATGGAATATTACTCAGCCATAAAATTACTTCATGACTTCTGCTGGTAAATGGATGAAACTGGAGACTATCATACTAAGTGAAATAAGCCAGTTCCCAAAAGCCAAAGGTTGAATGTTTTTGCTGAGAGGTAGAAGCTGATCCACATAGTGGGAGGGAAAGAATAGAAATTTAGTAAATTAGTCAAAGGGGAATGAAGGGAAGTGAGGGTAGGATAGGAAAAGGAAAGACAGTTGGAATGAATCTGAAATAATTTTTCTATGTACATATATGAGTACACCATAATGAATCCCACCATATGTACAGCCACAAGATGGGGTCCTAATTAGAATTAGATATATTCCATACATGTATAATTATATCAAAATGGATTATACTGTCATGTATAACTAAAAAGAACTCATAAAAAAGGGTGCGTTTCCTCACGTCTTCACCAATGGAATTCTTATAAGCCTTTGTGTCATTGCCAATCCAATGAGTGCAAGACAATATTTCATGATTTTAATTAATACTTTTTCTAGCATTTTCAAATCCTTGTTCATAAAACTATGATTGCCCCTTTACTGTATGCCTCATTCATAATATTTTTTTTTATCACTTCTTCCATTTTCACTGTATTTCACTCTTAGAGCTTCTAGATTTTGTCAATTTTGCTGACATGGTGTTTTAATCAGCTTTCTTGCTGTTGCGACTAAAACGACCCAACCACAACAATTGTAGAGGGGAGGAAAAGTTTATTTGAAAGCTCATGGTTTCAGAGGTCTTAATACAAAAGACTGACTGGCTGCATTCCTCGGGCTTAAGGCAAGGCTGAACATCATGGCAGGAGAGTGGTATGGCAGACTGTCCTCAAGCAGGGCAATTCTCTGGAATGTCTATAGTAGAATGGAGCTTCAGTTGCCAAGTTGGTAGCCCACATTGAACTTCTTCCTTTTCCTTTCTTGCTTCTCTATTCCTCTACTGGTGTTTCCTGGGGTTACCTCCCAAATAAACTGATTGCATCTACATCCTTTCTCAGAATTTGTTTGGAGAGGAATTTGACTCAAGACACCCATTGCTCATAGGTCATTTTGCTAATACCAGATAAAATATCTTAGTTGCCTTTCTGATTTCTTTCTCTGATTCCCTGAAATCCACAAGCACAAATTACTGCCTTTCTAGCCAAATGCGTTCTTTTGAACTCCCAGAAAAGTCAGATCTTCTCTGCTCATGAATAGTTTTTCATTTTTCCAACATCTGGTTCATACATGAAAGAATGGGAGTGAAACCTCACTTTTGCCCACGGGAACTTTGTATTTATTATTCATACCTGACACATTGGCCATTGTGTAGTCTCTTTTGGCTTCCTGATGGATCATTTGACCAGGATCACCTTGCATTATAGTAACAATCTGTGGTCAAGAGGGTAATGAAGGTATATCACAGATGAGTAATGTTCTAGGTGATTCATTAAATATCTGAGTAGGGAGAGACTAATGTATATGAATTGTCCTATTGATTTACTTTCCTCCTATCTATAGGCCTTTAGCATTTTATCATTAAGTATGATTTTACCCTCTTTTAGCATTTTATCATTAAGTATGATTTTACCCTTTATCAGATAAAAACTTTGCTTAAAATTAAAGACTTTAAAAATCATTAATGAATATTGAATTTTATTTTGTGCATTTACTCTGTTGAGATAATCAAGACTTTTCCATTAATTTGTTAATGTGGTAGAATTATATTATTATTATTCTGATGATAATGATGATGATGTACTGAGGATTGAACCCAGGGGTACTCAAATACTGAGCTACATTCCCAGTCCTAAATTTTATTTTTATTTTGAGAGATGGTCTTGCTGATTTGCCCAAGCTGTCCTCGATCTTGTGATGCTCCTGCCTTAGCCTCCCTAGTAGCTGGCATTACTGGTATGTGTCATTAAACCTGGTTTAGCAAATTAAATTCTTTTTTTTTCAAATCAAAGAAAAAATATTTACTTGCATCAGTGATACACATATTCTCTCTTTATATAAGCATTATATGAGGAATCCAGGGAAGGAAGATTTGAGATATGGCAAACATGGTGGCTTCAAGTGAAACAGGAAGTCAAAATAAGAGCAGTGAGAGGAATCCCAGGCTGCAGAGATACATGAGTCAAGAGAGAACATATATTCTGAAGACACGGCACAGAGAAGTGTCTTAGGCAGAGTATGAGGAATAGTGAGAGCTGAGAACTGCAAGGTAGATCTTGGAGGGCCAGTCAATTGGTTATAATTATGACATTGGGGCCCAGAGGTTTCCAAGGCCACACACCTGGTGAGCAACACTCTCTCTGCTGTTCTTAAGAGTCTTTGGCAGTGCCCCTAGGGAAGAACTGTGTTCTTAGCTGTAGGGCCAGGAGATAGTTTAATACTACACCAGCTCCTTCCCGGTGTCAGTTGGTTAGGGTGATCAACTGGGTTTCAGTGAGAAGGATGCTCCCACCTCCTATATTGGGAGTCTCAGCAATCTCTTCTATTGAAGGAAGGAACCATAAGAAAGCAGGACTTCTCACCACAGATGAAATCAGGACCAAAGAGGAAAGAGTCTTTTTCAAACATCACTAGAGGCCACCAATCTGCAGTGGGTTTCACATATCCTTTGAAACCAATTGAGTTGAGAGATGTAAATACAGCAGTTTTCATTTCTTGAATTTCAAGTGAATGATGACTGAGTGGGCAAATCAACTTCCAGGTAAAATCTATTTTACATTTGATGCAAGAACATTTTTATAGCATTCTCATGGGTCAAATTTCAGTGTTTGAACAGGAAGCATTCATGGTATAAGAATATCAATTCCTTTCCAGGTATTCTATTTTTAGACTGATCTTTTTTCAAGTTCTCTCTTTATTGAGTCACAACTGTCCTCTCATAAATTTCAGCACTTGTTCTGAGTTTGGTCTTTTGAGAAAAACAAAGAAAATCTACCAATTTTCATATGAGCAAATTAAATTCTAATGCTGAATCATTCCTGCATTCCTAATACAAGGCATTTTTTAAAAAAAATTTAAGTTTGTTTTAGTTATACATGACAGTAGAATGTATTTATGCACTTTGATATATCATACATAGATGGGATATAATTTTATTTTTCTGAGTGTACAAGTTGCAGAATCATATTGGTCATGTAGGCACATATATACATACAGTAATAATGTCTGTTTTATTCTACTATCTTTTCTTTCCCCACATTCCCTCCCCTTCCCTCCTATCACTTTCCTCTATCTAACCTAAGGTAACACTATTTTTACCTAGTGCCCCCCATCTTATTGTGAATTAGCATCTACATATTAGAGAAAACATTTGGCCTTTGGTTTTGC